CCCCCCCCCCCCCCACCCCCCCCCCCCCCCCCCCCCCCCCCCCCCCCAGTTAACAAACGTCAGACACTCCTCTGGCATCATGCCAAACGTGGCGTCCCTCTAAAATCTGTAACCATGGCAACATCCAATAACGTTGGGCCCGCCAGAACGCACGGGAAGCAGCTTTCGCGGCAAAGCCTTCAGAGACGTCACCACCGTCGTGTTCTCATCAGCACTTAAACCGCGGGGCAGCACCGGGAAATGGCCAAATCTAGGCATCCGGCAGTGAGGGCTGCGCTATTCTTGGCGAGCGGGTGGAAATGACCGGTTAAAGGTCAGCTGGACCGGCGCGTGGGGCCGCGCTCCGGTCCCAGCCTCGTCTCTAAAGGTGGATGTTATGCATTACCCGAACTACCACCGGGAATTACTACACAGGCGTCTAATGCAGACATACCATGTGACTTCCAAAAGATTACGTAGTTTTGCGTAGCAAAATATTAAGTAGGCATGGGGAAGCTGCATATTTTTGTGTGAAACCAAAAACTATTTCGTGTGTGAAGCATTTTTGAATGAACTGGAATCTCTGACACCCCCCCCCCCGCCCCCCCTCCCAACGATACTTTAACATTCGAGCGATTTCAGGGGATGGAATTGCCCTTTATATTCCTAAAACATCTTACCTCGCTACACAGAACTAATGCACCTACACGACTTCGTGAAAAGATTTCGTGAACAGAGTAGATAATATAAATGACGTGATAAATTGCATATCAACTATCAAAGATAAAACACTACAGCACCAACTGAACGCTGTGGCGGCAGGAGGTCAACACTCAGTCGTGTGGGTCACCAATAGGTGGCGCCAACGAGGGCTGTTGTGTGTGTGGCATTGTGCGTCGGGTGAGAACTGTGTGCGTCCCCATAGCTTCGCTGCTCTGTCAATGTTAGGTCATGCTATTAGTGATATGCCTACCACAGAACGGTTGACAGTATAACCAGTGTTTGGCCGCTATTGGCACAATGACTACCGGAACTAGGCGGATGTTTGCTACTGTCAAGTGAGGTAGTCGAACCGAGCCATACCGTTAATATCACATCCGTCCCTCTTATCTCTATCTTGCTTCATCCTATATCCTCCCACACCTCGATTGTCCGGGGCAGGTTGCATACGTCAGCCGCGAGTGGGCCGAGAGCCCGCGGGAAGCGGAACCCCGACCGGGTACCCAGCGCGCATGCGGGTTAAAGCCCGCCGGTTGGCCCCCCAGGCGCAAGCGACTCTGCTCCACCGTTAACCATTTTCCTCCATACCATGGCCCTGAAATGATCATCTCTGGTCGAAAGGGCTCTAATCCAAAAAACCAACTATCGTTAATATTTTTGTGCAATCTGACAGCGCAGTGGTTTCTCTTCGACATCCGTCCCTCTCCGGACGCGCTTCCCTGGACGTGCATGCCGGCACCCAAGTTTCAAACCGGACCAGCACGACCAACGCAGCAGTGCCAGTCCCGGCCACTCGGCCGCAACCAGCCGGTTGACAGCCCGAGTCCTGAGGTGCGGGTGATTACGCTTGTGTCGTACCGCACGGGCGCTCGGGTTGTTAACTGAAGAGAACAAAGGGCAACTACTGACACATTATCTCTTTCGCCGCCGAATACAGTGACGTGCGCGGCAACGCTACAAAAAGGAAATCACCAACACAGGCATCTGATATCACCTATCATATCATATATCAGTGCGACGCCACATCACCACGAAAGCCACCTGTGGAATGCGTCAAATCAGCACACTGAAATGACCCAACAGGGTACGGAGCGGCAAGCCTACCCACCGCCATACTTCCTGCACATACCCACACTGATAGAGTTACGACCCTCAGACGCCCTGCGTTACCCGGTCGCGACGCGATTTGATTCCCAAGCACGACGGAGGATTGCGCCGCTGGTCTGAAAACATCCGCCGAGCTTTACCCAGAAGCTCTCTTCACAGCGCTACGCTCGTCCAATGCACGTCGCCGACACCTGACCCTGCATCTGATATGGCCGGCACAAGGACCGTCGCAGGCGTCACCAGAGCGAACGCAGCGCGCTCATCCCAGATCAATACACTGACAGAGCTGGCAACCCGGCGACCTCAACAACAGAGAGGGCTTCGGCAGAACTGAGCCTGGTCGCCCCGCGTGATATTGGGAACGGTGGGTGTTCTGGCGGGGAGGAGTTCATCCAGTCAACACGCTGCGAGCGCTATTGGAAGGCATCCCGGCCCAATGAGGACCATGCACATGACCATAATTTTTATCAGCGGGTGGGGAGTCACCTTTTCTTTGGACTTATGCGCATCTGGACCTAGTTTAAGCAAAATTGTCCGGCATCTTTGTAAACATCTTAGCTGGTCAGGGGGGGGGGACGAGCTCCCCCCTAGCTACGTTCCTGGCCAGAAGGGCCAAGCCATGAGAGGTACACATCACTTTATACAATGCATCACCCGGCTTGACAAACACAATAACCATAGACCGTCATGCCTATGAATGACAAGATGTAGCAGTATCACGGATCGGATCTATCACCAGCGTCGGGCACGACCGATCGCCGATGTGTGATGTGAATATCCAAACCGTCCGGCACGTGAAAGCCTGCGAGCCTCCCCCTCGCAGTGTCAGCAAATCACTAACCTGAGCGAGACCTCCGCGTTGCCGAAGAGGCAGACCTTGAGGTTGCCGTCGGCCGTCAGCCGGAGTCGGTTGCAGCTGCCGCAGAAGTGCTCCGACATGGACGTGATGAAGCCCACCTGCCCCGCCCAGCCCGGCACCTGGTACGCCTGTGAGACAGAGGTCAGGGCAGGTCAGGGACACAGCGCATGGCCGCACACACACATGGGACCCCTCGGATGGTGCAGGACGCTGGGCAGGTCGCACACTGAGCTGTCACACTAGGCAGGCCGGACACTGAGCTGTCACACTAGGCAGGCCGGACACTGAGGTGTCATGCTGGGCAGGACGGACACTGAGGTGTCACGTTGGGCAGGCCAGACACTGAGGTGTCACGTTGGGCGGGCCGGACACTGAGCCGTCACGTTAGGCAGGCCGGACACTGAGCTGTCACGCTGGGCAGGCCGGACACTAAGCTGTCATGCTGGGCAGGCCCGACACTAAGCTGTCATGCTGGGCAGGCCGGACGCTCAGCTGTCACGCTAAGCAGGCCAGACACTAAGCTGCCACGCTGGGCAGGACGGACACTAAGCTGTCATGCTGGGCAGGACGGACACTGAACTGTCACGCTGGGCAGGACGGACACTGAGCTGTCACGCTGGGCAGGACGGACACTGAGCTGTCACGCCATGGCCGATGTGTAAGACGATTGCGAGTGGTCTACGGCGGGAGGTCTTCACCTGGCTGAACGCGACAGGACAAGGCAAGGCAAGACAAGACAAGACAAGACAAGACAAGACAAGACAAGACAAGACGACACGAGACAAGACTAGATGAGACAAGACGAGACATGACACTTCGCATGTAACAAGACCGGCATTGCATCATGATACCTACAAACAATGCAAGATACAAGACGCAGTTTGAGAAATGGCAAAACTGACACTTTAAGCCAACTTTAAGCCACCTTGCCACCGGTTTTTACGAGACCGCACTGCGCGGAGCACATCGCGCACGTCGGATCCCCCACAAAACGCCTGTGCTTAATGTCTGGTAGAGCCGGGAGCAACTCAGGAATCAACAAGACTTTTCACCGAGTCAATGACGAATATACTTCCTTGAACGTCTGTGCGTATCAAGCTGGATGAGGTTGAGGCATGTTTGCTGGTACCATCAATCAGCTGACTCCACTGAAAATATAACATCAATAGTGCACTCTTTTAGTATTAAACGGCCTCGATGTGTCGTTAATATAAAAAACATACATGCCACATATTCGCAGCATACTATGTCAAAAATTAGCGTTGTATGTAGCCAATTTAACAGTTTATTACCAGTTTATTACCACTTAAAACGCCGAGAGTTGGCAGTGGCAGTGATGGAGGTGTCTGCTGAACTAAGCATCTTTATAAGCTCGTTATTTAGCCCTTTCTCGTGGAATCCCTGCACACTGACCCGAAAGGTTACGATGCTACTCGTTTCCCCATACTCGGTTATGGCGCTTTCGTTGAGTTATTCCATTACACGTCTTACTTCCGTAATAACCAGCAACGATGTCCGACTTCTTATCTTAGGTAGCGCAAAACATGATCCGTGACTGAAACTTGTGCAGCTTGCTCAACATGATTAAGAGCCGATTGACGTCCATTCTATTTGGAAATCGTGTTCACAGACGCAAGATTTGAACGGCTCGGCGGTAATATTCTTACTGGGCTTGAACGCCGCATGGCTTATAGGGTGGTGGGGTTAGAATGACGTTGCTATGGCGTCATGCTTGCCTACATGGCCTTGAAATAATCTGCACGAAATGATCTGCACATCTTCGCCGGCGTATAACTCAGAAGATGGAGGTTGTAGTTACGGCTTAAGAAAGGCGGTGCTGTGAACCGCACCAAATAATCTTCGAAATGACATTTCATGTATCATGATGTTACTGGCGTGCGCCTGAGGCCGCCCCTGCTCGCGCCGCCAGTGCTGCTGCGCTTTGGTACGCCGCTGCCCCGAATAGCGGTGTACTGCCTGGGGCGCCGCCCGCCGGGGTCGGCGCCGCCCGCTCGCTTCGCGGGATAATACAGTTGCCGTCTCGCAGCGCTCATGTATGGTCTGGGTAGACAGAACACGTAGACTTGAATATGGCGCAGCCGCATTGAACCTAGAGTAAGCTTAAGCAAGCATGAGCAGCACATTAATTTAAGCATTGTGAGTTGTGAACCAAGTCGTGATGCCTGGATTTCGTCCTCCTGAGGAATTCGACTTTACATCGCCTGAGAGGTGGCCGACCTGGCGTGATCGGTTCGTCCGCTACAGACTGGCATCGGGACTACACAAAGAGGACGGTGACGTTCAAGTAGCTGCGTTGATTTACAGTATGGGTCCGCAGGCTGAGCATATCGTACCAACATTAAAGCTTACTGCTGAGCAGAAGGAGGATTTTGAAGTTGTTGTCTCAAAGCTAGACGGGTACTTCATTCCGAAAAGGAACTTTATTGCAGAGCGTCACAACTTCGAGCTTAGATCTCAAAGCTCAAGCGAGACTAATGAATCGTACATCAGAGCTTTGTTCTCTCTAGCTGAGCATTGCAGCTTCGCTGACGCTGATGAGCGTATCAGAGATCGTCTCATCTCAGGAATGTCTGACATGGAGCTGTCCCGTAGAATTCAGCTGAAGTCACTAGAGGAGGAAGTGTCTGCAAATACCGTCATTTCGATGATGCGTAATGTCGAGATCGTGAACGGCCGTGACAGCTCTGGTCCGCCTGATATCAGTAGGGTTTGTGCACCAGCGCGGCACAGGCAGCCGCGCCAGCAGCACCAGCAGTACAGACGTCAACAGCAGCCTTCCGCCGCGCAACGGCAACAGCATAGTCAGCGTACCAACTTTTCAACAGCATGCAGATACTGTGGAAGAGCACATCATGCGTCTCCGAAAGATTGTCCTGCTAAGGGAAAAATCTGTGACAACTGTCAGAAAATGGATCATTTTACGTATGTTTGTCGCTCCAACGGTGTCAGAGCGAGTGCGCGGACAGAGTCCATTGAAAACTATCGCCCGCCCAACATTTTTGTTGACGAAGTAGACAAAGCTTGCGCGCCATGGAGAGTTTCAGTCCTTCTAAATGGTCAACGAGTCGCTTTCAAAGCTGACTCTGGCGCTGATGTTAGCATTCTGACGCTGAAAACGTACAAGAAGCTGAAACTGCCGCCGCTTCAACATGCTTCAAATACTCTGACAAGTGTTTGTAGCGTGCTAAAAGTAGAAGGAAAGATGCACGGAACACTCCTGTTCAAGAACAAAGCCGAGACTGAAGTGTTCTACGTTGTTGACTCAGCTAATGATCTCCTCTCCAGGTCTGCTTGCTCGCGCCTGGGCGTACTGAGATCCACAGGTGAAGTCAACGAAGACGTCTTCGGAGAGGCAGGTCTCCTGAAGACAGCACCGGTCAGCATTCAGCTCCGTGAAGATGCTGTTCCATTCGCCCTTGCCACTGCAAGAAATATCCCGCTGCCACTGATGAAGCCGGTGGAAGAGGAGCTGAAGAAGATGGAGCATCACGGCATCATCACGTCGGAGACCGAGCCAACGGACTGGGTCTCTGCGCTGGTCCCCGTCCCGAAGCCGAAGAGCAGCGGTGTCCGCATCACGGTTGACTACAAGAGACTCAACCAGTCTGTGCAGCGACAGGTGTTCCCAATCCCTACTCTGGAGCAGCTGACCTCCAAGCTGAGTGGCGCGACGCCTTCACCAAGCTGGACGCCTCTTCCGGTTTCTACCAGATCCCGCTGGACGAGGCGAGCTCCAAGATGACCACGTTCACCACTCCGTTCGGCAGGAAGAGGTTCCTGCGACTGCCGATGGGGATCTCGCTCGCACCGGAGTGCTTCCAGCGGAAGATGGAGGAGATGCTGGACGGACTGCCCGGAATCATCGTCTACATGGACGACACCGTGGTGTTCGGAGATGCTGCCAGCCACGATGCACGTCTCGAGGCCGTCATCAGGAGGATCCACGAGTCTGGCCTCACGCTGAACAGGAAAAAGTGTGAGTTCCGGAAGAACGAGGTCAAGTTTTTGGGGATGAAGATCAGCAAGAACGGCATCAGCATGGACGAAGAGAAGCTCGAAGCGATCCAGCAGCTCCAACCACCAAAGAATGTCAATGAACTAAGGTCTCTGCTCGGAGTAATCAACTTCCTGGGCCGGTTCGTTCCACACATCCAGGAGTGCTTAAGACCACTGAACGAGCTTCTGAGGAAGAACGTAGCATGGATCTGGACACCACAGCAGCAGCAGGCGCTGGATGACGTGAAAGCAGCCGTCACTTCAGCTCCAGCTCTGGCGTTCTACGATCCAGCACGAGAGACGGTGGTCAGCGCCGACGCCAGCAGTTTCGGCATCGGAGGATGTGTTCTCCAGAAGCACGGCTCCGTCTTCAAACCCGTCGCGTTCTGCAGCAGAAGCCTGACTGACACAGAGACCAGATGGGCCCAGATTGAGAAGGAACTACTCTCCGCGACGTGGACGTGCGAGAAAATGCACATGTTCCTGTCCGGACTGCCGTCGTTCGAGCTGCATCTGGACCACAAGCCTCTGATCCCGCTGGTTAACACGAAAAATCTCGTGGATGCGCCGATCAGATGCCAGCGCATGCTCATGCGCTTGATGCGATACAACCCCACAGCGGTCTTCGTTCCAGGGAAGCAGCACCTGGTGCCCGACTTCCTCTCACGTCACCCGCTCCAGAAGCAGGATGAAATCAGCGCTGTGCTTCAAGAAGACATGCATGGATTCTGCGAGAGAATCTTCAGCGATCTTCCCGCCACACCACAGCGTCTGGTGGAGATCAGCAAGGCCCAGCAAGCAGACGAACCCCTACAACGCGTAGTTCAGCAGACTCTCTCTGGCTGGAAGGAGGGAGCGAAGCATCCCGACCTGCTGGACTACTTCACCTCTCGGGGAGAGATGAGCGTTCTGTACCTAACGTGTGGTACACTGCTGATGCACGGGCGACGCATCGTCATCCCTCCGAGTCTGCGAGATGAAATGCTCACCCGACTACATGATGACGGACACTTCGGTCTGAACAAGTGTCGCCAGAGGGCAGCAGAATCGATCTGGTGGCCTCAACTCAGCATCGACCTGAAGCGTCATCTCGAGAGCTGCTCGTTCTGTCAGGTGAACGCGCCAGCCCAGCACGCTGAGCCACTGGTGACAACCCCAACGCCATCAAGACCGTGGACGCACGTTGCAGCAGACGTCTTCCACTTCAACAACTGCAACTGGCTCGTCACGGTGGACATCTTCAGCAGGTATCTGGAGATACAACGCCTCCCGAGTCTCACCAGCAGCGCAGTCATCGAGCGTCTGAAGCGCCTGTTTTCCCGCTTGGGGATACCAGACCTCGTGACAACAGACGGAGGAACGCAGTTCACTTCAAGCTCGTCCGCCAACTTCACAGCGTCCTACGGCTTTACAAACCGCATCACAGGCCCGCACACGCCGTCTTCCAACGGAGCAGCTGAACGGGCCGTGAGAACCGCCAGTGGATACTTCGCCAGAGGGACCCCCACCTCGCCCTCCTCAACTACCGCACGACGCCTGTGGAAGCAGCGGATACTCCCCAGCCCGTCTCCTGATGGGACGCGAACTTCAATCTGTCTCCCCATCGCTCAGCCAACCGGAGAAGGAGAAAGAGAAGCGACATGGCAGCATGCCAAAACTCCGAGATCGGCAGGAGGCAGAGGAGGAGAGGAAGACTGGAGAGTGCTTCAACGGAGACACGGTTGCCCGCGATCTTCAGCAGCTACAGCCGGGAATCATGTTCGGATCAAGACGGAGAAGGAAGCAAGCTGGTCCGAGCCAGCCACCGTCACAGAGAAGCTATCATAGACGCAGCTACCTGCAACCGACGTCATCTGATGCAGATCCCTCCGTTTCAGGTGTTGACACAGCAACGGTTCCCATGCGGCGTGTGACTGTTCTGCACACAGGGTGCCCGCTCCAGACCTCCTCTCTGGCCGCCATGCTGGGTGGCGCCACCGGCGATGCTGCAACCGCAGCCGCGCGAACCGGCGTGCACCACGATCGGTGGTACCACGGCCACCACCAGCTGTGCCGTCGCCCGCGTCGAAAAGCGCCGCCGATGTGACAGAAGCTGCGGCCAGCCCTGCACGCGCAAGTACCCCAGACACAAGGCCCAACGCCATGCTTAGTTTCAGTCCGCGTAAAACACCGCAGTGGCCGCGTTTTCTGAGAGAAATAAAGAGAAGCAGCAGAGAAGCAGCAGGAAAGCAGGTGGGAAGACGCAGCAGGAGGAACGCACAGAGAAGAAGCAGTCCGAGAGAAGCAGAAGGGAAGCAGCAGCTCAGAAGCAGCATAGCAGCAGCAGGGAAAGCAGCAGGGAAGCAGCAGTCTGTCGCCAATAATTTCGTGTTTCGCAAGCGTTTTTTTATATATTATACATTTATTTGCATTCCTCAAGGGGGGGGCGGGGGGAAGATGTATCATGATGTTACGCGTGCGCCTGAGGCAGCCCCTGCTCGCGCCGCCAGTGCTGCTGCGCTTTGGTACGCCGCTGCCCCGAATGGCGGTGTATGACTGCCTGGGGCGCACCCGCCGGAAGTCGGGCCGCCCGCTCGCTTCGCGGGTTAATACAGTTGCCGTCTGCAGCGCTCGTGTCTGGTCTGGGTAGACAGAAACACGTAGACTTGAATAAGTTCAAGTCCATACAAACATGGAAAAATCCCCTCAAGTAGGATATGAATATTGGTCATGCCTCGAATGGGCCAAGGTAACTTGCGCTGGCCTGGCCCGACCAACGGCAGGACTGTAGTCTGAGTTCGAATCGATGCGCCGCAGTGTAAATCTGCCTCATAGCACAGAAGTTATGGAAGCTGCCTGACCATTTGCAGTAGATGTGCCCCCCCCCCCCCCCCCCATCACTACAGACGCCACCCACCTTGGACGTGTCGTTGGCGCGGTCGGAGATGCGGCGCAGCTCGGGCCAGCGCTGCTGCAGCCGCTCCAGCATCTCAGCGTACGGCACCATCTTGCGGTCGTTCCAGCGGTTGCCGTCGAACGGCATGTACTCGATAAAGCGCACGTCCAGCCGGAACGTCTCCGTCAGCGCCACGAAGTCCTCCAGCTCCTCGTCGTTGACGCCGCGCATAACGACGCAGTTCAGCTGCGGCACAGTCGGCAGGTCAGGCGCGCGGAGTCAGGTCCCAGGGGGTCAGAGGTCACGGGACGGGGGCTACGGTTTAAGGGCGGCTGTGTTTCACTACAGGTGATGCTTGGAGGTTGCAATAGTTTGGAGGACAAAGAGCTCATTGGAGCTAGCTTAACGAGTTGGCGTACAAACAAACCGGTGTCTCCCATCACGCCACAAGCCACTAACAAGTGCTCCCTGCTGTGCTACAATCCTACACGTTTTTTTCACTGAGGACGCCGAACAACACAGGCTAGAAGAAATAACCAGCATCACAAGTACCCTCACACCTAAGCACGAGCACGGACACCCACTCCACCATTACAGCACGCAGGCAGTGCCCACAGCACGCCGTCGGTGGGCCCGCTTGACAGGTCCTGCTCTGGCCTTCCGTCGCCTTCACACACCTTGACCGGGTCGTACCCCGCTGCCAATGCCGTCTGAATGCTCTGCCAAACGCGATGGAAGCCGCGCCGACGTGTGATCAGCTCGAACTTGGCCGGCACCAGGGTGTCCAGCTGATGTTGATTGCGTCAAGACCGGCTGCCTGCAGCGCCGCCAGGCGGCGGTGCAGCACAACAGCGTTGGTCGTCATGGCGACCCACTGGATGCCGGGAATGGCTTTGAGGCCAGCTGGAATGTTTTGTGAATCTATTATTCATGGCGGCCGTGAGTCAACGCAAGACCTCAGGTGCGGGAAACGCTATCCACTGCGTCATGAATGAATGTCCACCTTGTCACCTGCATGCATATAATAACATCTGGCACATGTGCTACACCTCCCGACATTTCTAGCGTTGTCTTTCAATGGAACGCAAATAAGTTTTGTCAGGAACGCAATAAGTTTGTGTGTGAACCACTGGCTGTCATAACGTTCTGCAAGTCGCTACATCACACCCATACTGGTGCAGCAAATGGGGAGCCATTCGGTTGGATTGTACCGGACCATGAACACTTCATCCGCGGATGAAGCCTTTCCCCACCATTCCCCTGCGACCAGAGCCCGCGCCAGGCACGCCCCTCTGACCAGAGACGTCAGCACAGGCGGTGACCATCCTGGCTGGTGTCTGCCCATCCCCCGACCAGAAAACCTGACCATCACACCACTGATGTCAGCTGCCCTGTACCCTGACAGCTCGTCCGCCTCCGCTGGCGCCTCACCGATGACGTCTGCGAGGTCAGCGCGCACCAGAGGCTCGCCGCCCGTCAGCCGGACCTTGGTGACGCCGGCGGCGGCGAACAGGCCGGCCAGCCGCACGACCTCCTCAGCAGTGAGCAGGTGCGACTTGGGCGTCAGCGGCACGCCCTCCTCGGGCATGCAATACTGGCCTGCGCGCATGCGCATGCACGGCGTCACCGTCATGGGTGGTGGCGAGTGGCCGACAGTAGAAACTGATGTCTTGTGGAAAATCATTTTCGTGGTTTGGCAAGTGCAGCACGTACTTGGCCGCAAAAAGTGCAATATTAGTATCATGGCCAAGGCAACCCCTCAGGGTGTGTGCAGATGACTCACATCTGAGGTTGCAGCGCTCTGAGAGCGAGATACGCAGGTAGTCATGGAACCGGCCAAAGCTGTCCGTCAAGAAGTTGCTCAACGGTGCCAATTCTTGTGCCCGCAGGGCTTCCAGTCTGGCATGCTGGAATGGTGAAAGTCAGATGGTTATGAAGTGGTGGCTCAGGACAAATGCTTTCTGCCCTGCTTGGGGTTACCTTGGTGCAAAGGACATGAAGGGCTGTAATGCTAATGACCACAACTGAACCTGGTGTGGATAGCTCACTGCTTCCTCAGTGTTGTTATTAACTCCTCACAGACCAAGAAAAAAACACCTGAATGTGCCGATCAGCAGGAAGTGATAAAGTTTTCATGCTGCTCACACCAGCTATTTAACTTCAATTTAATGTGCCCAGGTGGTCAGTTAGACACCTTTTGCTCAGGTGGGGGTAAGTTTGACCTGCTGAGATCTCAAGAAATAAGAGAGCTAGAACCATGAAGTCGATAGGGTGTGTTGGCCTGTACATGAACTCACTTAGATCGGTTTGAGATTCCTAGGTCATGACCTTCAGGTAAAATAAGGTCCAACAGTGTGAAACTTCAATTTAGTCTCTGGAGTGTCCCCAGAACCTAGATACCTGTCCTAAGCAAAAGGTCATATGCTCATTTAAGGTCAATGACCTTGTTTGACATTTCACAGGTCATCATGACCAAAATCATAACAGACTGCTTTGAGCTTTGCATTTGAATAGGCGACAAAGATTGCACTATGCAGTGTATTACTAAAAATGAAATGTTGGCTGTGTCATTTTGGGCTAGTGATCTATTCTGACCTTTAAAAAACCCATGGAAGGTGTATAATGCAGCTCCTGTTATCACAAATTTGCAATGAGCACCAAACACTACCCTATTCATCAGACCACAGATCAATGAAGCTGGTTATTTTGGACTCTTATTATTATATTGGACTCTATTGGACTCTATTGGACTCCATTATTATATTGGCCATATATTGGACTGTATATTATTAAGCTGGTTATTTTGGATTTTGACTAGTTTTCTCTCCTTCAATACCACAAAGGAATGAACAAAAATAGGAATTAGCTCCAAGGCATAAAACCACTGGTTCAAGATCTGGCAATGACCAAACATTAGATGATTAGATGTACCATTGAACAAATTACACCTGATACAACCTGAAAGCTGTAATTTTTAAGTTGTTAAGTCATAATACATGCATACTAAAATTTCACATCATAACATGCTTAATGGATGCACCAAACACCATTTTCAGACTTATTATTAAGTGACTTATTTGATGAAACACACCATAAATGCATGCATAACAAATTATGCAAGACAATAATAAAACACCATAATTTTCATTCAAGTATAGCATTATATTTAGGCAAAGTAAACAGCAATACAGCTAATGTACTGGAACAACATGCATCCCAAACATGCCAAAACCAATTGCAGTCTAAACATAAACCATAAGCTGCCTTAACTTACCTTTTTAGGTTCTTTGATCCTGGATGCATCACCTGCCATGCCCCTCATGCCTAGTGGAACATGAGCTGAGGGGGCCTGATTCAGGCATGATCTCACAAAGAGCTTATGACTTGACAAAATTTGCACCCTCATATTAAACTCTGTAAGCAATCAGTAGTATAAACCTTTAATACACACATAAAACACCTCAATTGTTTTTCTAAGGCATTGGGGGCTTAACACATGTACAGTATACAATGGCTTGGCAGGTGCAAGAATATTAAGTTCTTGCATACAACTGCTCATTCATAAATGGGCTGGGCATGGTTATGCAACCCTCACTCTGATGAGGCTTTGTGCATATTCAGAACTGATGGGGAGGGGTAGGCACCTGCTGCACTGCCCTGTACATCATGTGTGCAATCCTATGTGTATCATATTAATCATCATATTTGTGCCATCCAATGCACAAAAGCAGTCATATCATGATGCAGTACATCTAACAGCATGTTCACTGAGTTGTTTGCATTTGATACATGTCTCCCTCCACTGTTCTTCATTATCATTTCCAGGCCATCCAATGGTTCAAGGGGACACTAGGCAGCAACATTTCTTCAGCCAAAATTTTGGCAAATTTGAGCAATTTAAGACAGCTGAATCAATTGTGCATTAGTCTGTCTGACCACCATGCACATCACTGCTTCTGGTTCACTGCAAATGTCACTAAAAATTATAATGGTTGTTAATCACTTGATGTCAACCTATATTACCTACAATGTCATGCCATGATTTATGGTAAGATAACCTTACCAACACATTGCACGATACACTCTCATTTCATGTGAGACGTCCATAATTCACAACACTTGCCTCCAGCGCTCGTCCCCTTCACTTGTCACCACGGACACCCATCGACCATATAGGTGCCAAAGCGGCTCGACGCCCAAGGTTACCTCCTTTCTGATGCGCAGTGCTGCTGTTGCTAGCCAGGCATGCTGGGGAGTGAGTACCAGCATTCAACGAGTTGCTTGGCAAGGTATGAAATTTTTCGGCATTGTAAACAAATGCCATCAGTCCATGTCGGTCTGATACATCTCTGGTGCCCAATCCGCCTCATGATCACAATTTTCTGTGCCAATTGGGGGGATTATCGCAGCACCTAACGTGTGTAACCCCTAATGTATCACCACACTTAATGTTCAAAACACCTAATGTATCACAAGGCCTAATGTTCATAATCTCTAATATATCACAACCCCTAATCTATCATAGCCACTAACATTTGTAACTCCTAATAAATCATAAGGCCTAATGTTCAAAAACCCTAATATATCATATGTCACTACACCTAATATGTCACTACACCTAATGTATCATTGGGCTTGGGGAACCAAAGCAAGCCACCTAGTGTTTCACAACTCCTAATGTATTGCAACTCCTAATATATCACAGCACCTAATGTATCAGAACACTTAGTGTATCCCCCTGCAACCCATCGTCCCATTGGCGTTGAGGATCAAAATTTCATGGATTCTTGTTACCTCGGCCAGGTACATTTTTATGGTTCTTGATGCTGCTTGATGCGCAGTAATGTTGTGGCTGCACGCAGTAACGGCGCCGGTATCGCGGGTGCTGTGTGTGTGCGGCGCTTGGGAGCTCACCATCGTAATTATAAAAATTTGAAGGTAAGAGCATGAATCTACCTGTTTTGTGATTATTTACAATATGTCCTGCCCTAAACATGATGAATGGTGTATAATGATTTTTTCTAACAGTAGGTAGGAAAGTACACCCTGACCCTCGCCTAGGCTTTTGTAACCTAGGTGTACTTATTGGAAACAAGTGTGAAGTTCCCTATTCAGTTGGCTAGGATGCCAACCCCTCCCCAACTTTGAGAAAAAGGAACTTTATTAAAATCAGGGAGAACATGGTTTGCTCCATTTCAGGGGGATGAAAGATTTCTCTGCTCACCCTATCCACTAAATTATGTACAACATTACACCGCCTGACGTCAGGCTGCTGGGTAATCGGGGCTCGGATGCCAACGCACCAGGGGCGGAGGAATTGTTTCACCCTCACATAGCAATCCAGTCGCATAAGGTTAGCATCACTACATCTACTCACCGACGTCGAGTCTAATACAATGCTTTTCACAGTGTATAATTCTGAACTAAATTTATATATTGCCTTTATCTACACCACAAACCAACCACGCCACCCCCGCTCCTCGCGCGGCCTCACGTTAGATGACTTGGCCCCAAGGCTCTTGGCCCTTCCAAACAAGGTCGTTAGGCTACATAAATGGCGCGCACGCAAGGGCAGTCCTCAATGACAGAGCCGCTGTAGGTTATTTATCGGCTTTGTTATTGCTGCTTAGGACCGTAGTGATTTTGTAAAAAATATTGGTTAGCAAAATCCGGCTGAAACAAAAGTTAAATCTCAAAAAAGTGAATGATATATAAATACACCAGCAGAAGTTCTGCTCAACGGAGAACAAGAAGCCTTGCTTTAGCTTCATACTCAGATCATGATTCTGTGAGGGCGCTCCGTAGATCGATGGAAAAAAATTCATACTTTTGTTTGATGACCCTTTTATGCATGTTCGTCACGTATTCAGCTCGGATTTCTTGATGGAAAATACGCCCTCTCTCCGATGCTAACGCCTCCCCAAGAGCCAGAGACTCGCGGAGCGTAGACCTATCTTTTATATGTCAATGTCGCGGAGCCTTAGTTTTCCACGTGCCCGATTGAGTGTTTGGGATGATGTTTAACGTCACCATTACATGTGATAAGTTCCATACAATATACATTTTTTATAGTTTCCAATAAAATTTCAACATGCAATCAAAAAAAGAACGAAAACTCATTCATTAATTCACCTTTTTAGAGGTACATGTAACGTTACGTCACATACTTTCGCATTAATTTGTCTTGTGTTACAATGATTTCTACGCATAATCCAGAAACGTTGAATCGTGCCGTGTGCGAGATATTCTCCGCGCTTCTCTCGCGGTACGTCGAGAGACGATGTTGTTTTGGGCGCGGGATTGGCCAGGTCGCCCGGTGTGTGGGCGCGTTGGTGTCGTTGGACTGTAGGTGAGTTAAACATGTGCTGGTGAGCAGCAACAGACCTGGACACTGAATGCATTGCAAGGAAAGCTTATGTGTGTTATAGAGAGATTCGGCTGTAACCCGCAGGCAGTATCCCTCGTTCAGTCGTGACGTGAGTGGCGCGCGCTCTTTAAATTCTAACACCCGGGAAGCAAATTCATGCGACCGAAACCCGGGGAAAAATCAGGTCTCCGGAGCACACCACCTCAACGTTTTCAGCTGATCCCTTAACCGATTTTTGAAACTGACATGCTCAGCGTCTTACACGGCCAGGGCTCGCCCGCCTCGTGTAATACGGGAAGTCAAGGCCATGCAATAAGGTATGATCATCCGGGGATTCTCCCGGCACATTCCCTTCGCTATTACAGTGACGTCACAAAGTTGCGGCCGGGCATCACCGCTCCGCGTGCATTATCTTCGCATTTGCTACACCGGTGCACGCACTAACCAGTGCGTCTGGTGACCGCCACAGGGCGCTTCAAGAGGTTCTATGAGGAAATATGAAAGGGAGATTTTTTGCCAGGTTGGGTGTGTAGCAGCGAACATAGGCGTGGGCACCGGGAGAACTGTGCGCCATGACACTTCCACTTGCTGAGGATGCTAAATATTGAGTCTACGGCGATGTATTTAAGTTGGCCAGCCTACAACTGCTTAAATGCAGGCTGGCGAGCCTGCCCAAGGGGGAACTGACCGGCACCAGGATCTTCATCCGGACTGTCGCGCTGAACCTCAACATTATACATCATGACGCGCCGGGCTGCACTGGTGTGTGATGGAGGCTGTTTGGGACGACCTGAAGAAGTGTGCCGCGTAGTAGAACATAGGACATCGTGGACATTGCACATTGCACGTTGCATCAACTATGACACGAATCCTCCGAAGGTCGTCGAGCGTGGCGTTAATCAAGAAAATATCCGTCACGTCATGCGGGCCAGTTCACCGAACACACGTAAGACTCATAATTCACCGTATTTTCTAAAACGATTCTTGCGGCCCAGCGTACACTTAATTGTGCACATTTTGCGAGGACACAAAGCAAACAGGGAGGGGGGGGGGGGGCAGAGAACACAAGTATATGTTTTTCAGCTTAAATCTAGAGTTATGCGGCATGATAACCAGTCTGAAACAACCCAAACGTTCATTCTGCGAAGGAACCGTCTATGCCTCAGACAGACTGGCATGGAAGACAAAGAAGGCATGAGGGATGCTCACTTAAGGTCACTTACGTATACTCACATAAGCACAACGACGTTCACTTACGCTGCCACCGATGTTAACGCGCACCGGTTTGGCTGCGCGCCTGGCAGCAGCCCGCTCAGCCCCAGCCTGATTAAGCCATCCGAGGCGCAGATGGATGTCCGTCGTCGCCAGCCTCCGAGCGATCCGCTTTGTCCAGCGCGGAGCTTTCTCAGCAGGAGCTTCGGGAGGCGGTCGAACGATACCAATGACTCGGTCCATGCCTCGGCCCATCACTGGCTGGAACACGATCTCGAAGGCCTCGACAACGCTCGTCCAGGCCGGTAACGGTGCCATCAGACCACCTTGGCTAATCGCGTGTATCCAGCTGTCTGGCACACGGCTGGGTGGTGCTTCTCGGGTCGACAAGCCCATACTTGGATCAAGATGCTTGCACTTGGGCGCCACGAAGCCGGCAACGATGGTCAGGCGCCCTGTGCTCGGTGTTGACCTCGTCCATCCCGTCCGCCGTCGTGGGGGCCATTTTTGGTCCTCTCGCCATGGAGCTTGTCTTCGCCCGACTCGTTGACCCCGTCGTCCTCGCCGAATTCGTTCAGGACGAGCACTGGACGCCTCGCGGCTGTTTGCTGGTAGGTGGCCTCCACGTCATCCGCGTGCCCTGCCATGTCCACCACAGCTTGATCTTAGATCTGCGACACAACAAAGCAGTCATTTCCATGTACCTGACAGGCGCACTTGTTAAACCCATGCGCACCAATCAAACCCTTTTACAAGTCACCTGTATTGTTTTTCATTGCGACAGCAAAACGTGTTGGACACGGGCATGCCCTTTCTTCGTCGTTGTCGCATGTTTTTTTTTTTAAACACAGACACATTTTGTGGTTCAGCGTGACATAATCCGAGCGGGTAAGAGGGACGGTCAATGGCCGGCGGGCACTGCACTGCGTGCACCATTCTGATATCTACCGTTCCTGGCCGTAACCACGGATTGTCTGGATGGCCCCGTTTCATTGGTCCCATTTCAGTGCATCGGCTGCCCCAAGGGGGGGGGGGGCGCGTCGTCACCACTGTTTTCCGACGCAAAAATCACGAGAACGGCGCGGCCCCCCGAGCCCCCCCCCCCCCCCCCCCACTCCATTCGTCTCTGCTCGTGAGGTTGAAGATCTATGGTATAGGCACAGCAGCAGTTTTTTTACCACGATATTACTGTATGTAATCCCGAACTTTGGTGACCAGGCAAAAAGCTTTGTTTGAAATCTCAGACACCAGCATGGACAGTGGCACGAAGAGTCCAAAAGTGGTTCATTAGTAGCAATACCGCACATAGGTGGGCGAACATGTACGTCACGTAGTTGAAAGAACTGTTTAATGCACCAGGGCAGACCAATATTGAAAGCTCTTGATGCGCTAGGTACTGTGGCCTATTAGCGGTTGTGGGGTTTGTTAGTTCACAGTGCATATATGTGTTGTCAATGGGGCTGGGACTCGCTCGTGCAAACTTGCCCTCCCCCCGTCGCAAAACTCTGCCTACGCTCCTGACACTCACCCCCTTCGCCCGTGTAGCATAGATGGCTGTGCCACTTGTGTGGTAATCAGGCCCTACTTTGTAAACAAGATTATGGTTGGAAAGCCTCGTTTGAATCTCGTATTGTAGTCTACAAATTGCACAGAGCGGTATAGATTGTGTATGCATTTGACTTCGAATGGGGTTGAAAGATTTCTGCATAAGACAGACCGTAATTTTCCTTTTAAGCACAGGCATACTCACCTCGGCGTGCCGGCGATGTCCAGTTGCATAGAACGAACTGCACTTGGTCGAAGGCATGGTTTGACATTGGGTGTGGGACTGGTCTTAACCAGATGGCCAGGATCAGTCATGATCTTGAAAATGATCAGATCAGATTACCGCACTCTCCACATGTACCCAGTCACGTACCAAAATATCTGTTACAAAGTTACAAATTTTCATGGATTCTTTCAAAAACACTTTCACACAACTAACAAATTGTGGCATCATTGCCACTGAGTGCAGCATTGCTCCGCATTGTACATTCAGCTAGTTTTTCTTTTCTTAAAAATGATCCCGAGGATTGGAATTGCCTCAGCGTGGTGTTCAGACAAAAAGTCGACTCGCCATCAGGGGCCTTCTTATGTTTTCGGAGGTGGGGGGGGGGGGGGGTTGAGCCCTGACGCTGACTTGAGCCCCCTACGCTGCTCTGAGCCCCTCAGCGCATACGAACCAAGAGGGAATACTGGGCCAAATAAATGCAGAACACTCATCTTAACTTTTTCATATTCTGGATATTAGGTGCCTAGTCACCACACTATTATAGTAGCGTGGTGCTTACATGGTACTAATTAGTATCACATGTTAATTCTGCACCAGCATAAAACAACCAACATACAGGGACTATAGTATCCTGTATGTATTAAGTCGTGAGCCATTAGGCGCCTCTGTGCTCTTGTAAGCCTGTGCGCGAGAACTTGCGTGGTCATCGTAATATGCAATGAAACGTAGCGGGGGCGTCCCCACGAGATCAGCGGTCGCCCGGCAGCGCCCCTCGGCGTATGTAAGCTGGCACATACTGCGTGTCAGCAGACGAGGGTCAGACCACGACCAGGGGTCGCGGCTCTGTCTTGCATGCGACAGCGCGGTCGAGTCCGACCATCGTGTGGGCCGAATAGAGGTAACCGTCTGTACTGCGGCTTTCGATAGACGGTGAGAAGAAGAGCGCTGAATCACAAGCTGAAGCTACACAGCATTCAGCGGTCCCCCCGGTCCGCAGGGCCGGGCACTCCAGTGCCAGCAAGAGAGCCCCGTGCGCTGGTCAGTGGCTCCCTGAGTCCGTGAGGACCTGTAGGCTGGTCAGACACCACCAGTAACGCACAGTCGGCTCTGTGGCGGCATGAGCCGGAAGGTTCATTTC